TAAAAAAAAAAAAAAAGAGAGAAAATAACATAAGAATTTTGTGCAACTTACCATAAAGACCAGTATCGATATAAGAAAAAAATAGAGCATTGCGGTTCGTTTCATTTAGCATTGGATACGTTTTCGGGTATGCCATTTCAGACCGTCCTAGCAACGCAGCCATAAAGAGCAGTGTCAGTCCTTTACCAGTTTGAATTGTTGGCAAGAACTTATTTTTTCTAAATCATAATCTTGGCAATTTCTATGTCTCCAGCTTCAGCGGCAAAACTCAATTCAGTGTTTTCTTTCTTGTATTGAAGTGCCAAGTCTTATTCATCCATCATTTTGACCAGTTCCCCCACAAAGTGAATATGCCTTGCACATGCTGCAATGTGAAGAGCAGTCTGCTAAAGGAACAAAATGTTTCATGTTAATCCCACAGACAAGGACTTACAACCAAGCAGAGTCCATTTTCAACAAGAATGCTGCTGCTTTTACCTTTGATAACTCAGAGCATTGATCGTATCCAGGGATTAGGATTTGATTACTTTCAAAAGGGTTATTAAAAAAAAGGAATTCTATTTTTCAATATACCGTACTTCCATTCAATTATACCATGCATCCATGTATCCTAGTGTTGTTATAGAAGTTCTTTTCATCGAACAGTTGGTCTGCATTGTAACCACACGGCAAGTTTCACACAGAACTAGCAAGAGTAAGTCATAATAGCAACTGAAATACAAATGCATAGATGCATATATGAACAAACAATGGTATATACAAGCGAATCATAAACAGGGTTCAAAACCATAGTTTTGGTTTATTATAATTGGTTTTCTAAATTTTGCTTTAGTTTCTTTTGTTATGCTAGCACTTAAAAGTGTAGGATCGATAGATAAGATTCTTCATATTAAACAGATATCATACGTACTATTGCCTTTTTCTAGCAGATGACGTGAAGGATGCTTAGGCTCTGTGGAAGCAGGTGTAGATTGTGGTCCGGGCTAGACATGGTTCCAAATATTTAAACTTGCTCAAATGTGTCGTACCTGCGCAAAAACTTGAACTATTCAGCAAGTAATTATACATTTCTAAAGCAATAAGCTAGGTTAAAAGCAAGAAAGCACAATAACACATAAGCCAGCTATTTCTACGACAATAAGCAAGAAAGTACTATTGCTTTTGAGCCC